CCAGCACCTTCCAGTGCTGAAAGGGGGCTACAGGAGAGATGGGGGGGCTCTGGATCAGGGGGTGCAGGGACAGGACGAAGGGGAACAGCTTAAAAAGCTGAAAGAGGGGAGGTTGAGATGAGATATTAGGAGGAAGTTATTTATTGTGAGGGTGGTGGGGCTGTGGCCCAGGTTGCCCAGAGCAGCTGTGGATGCCCCATCCCTGGAGGGGTTCAAGGCCAGGCTGGATGAGGCTTTGGGCAACCTGGGCTAGTGGGAGGTGTCCCTGCCCAGGGGGTGGCACTGGGTGGGCTTTAAGGCTCCTTCCAACCCAAACCGTTCTGGCATTCTATGATCTCTCTTCACCAGCCTCCCCAAACCGTTCAGCCAAGCTTTGCCATCTCCTTCTATTGCTCCTGTCATTATTTATATTGTTTTTGTGATGGGAACCTTCCCTATCCTCTTTATGAATTAAGACACAGCTCTTTCCTCCAGACTGTTCCTACTGCTTGCAAACCTGCCCCCTTGTCAGCCTGGAAATCTGCCGAAAATGGCACCAAAAACCTGCAAACACCTTGGCAATGCCCCGACCACCCCCTCGATCTGCCGGTCACACAAGCTGGGAGCAGGCAGGAAATCTGATATAACCTCTGGTTGCTCTGGCAACCCAGCACCTTTGTTAAACAGGCATGGAAAAAATAAAGGACCCGGACTGATTTTTTTTTTCCTTTTCCTTTTTAATAAGAAAGTTGCTTTTGTGAAAGTAGTCATTGTTTTGTGGTTGTGAGCGTTTGAAAACAAACAACACCGTATCAGGCAAAACCACCGGTGGCTGGGGTGGATGCTTTTGGATTTTTAATAAATAACAGTCCGGTTAGTGTTTTTGAGCACAGGAGTCCATTTTCGGAAGAGACAGGGAGATTTTGGCTCTCTGTAAGGCTGATGGTGTTGGACATCTCAAAACGAGATGAAGGATGCTCACCCTCCGAAGGTCCCCTTTGGTGCTGCAGAAGCCTCCACTTGGGGAAATTTCAGGCACATGTTGCCTCCGTTCCTGGAGCCTGTCACCTTGGGGCCATTTGGTCGCTGAAGGAGATGTGATTATGTGTTTTGGCTCTTTACTGAGGTCCTCTGTTCATCAGCGTTTGCAGCTCCATCCCTCAGCAGAGTGCCCAGGATGTCCCAAGTCTCTTCTGCAACCCTTGGACTTGTGTTTTTCATAGAATCACAGGATGGTTTGGGTTGGAAGGGACCTTAAAGCCCACCCAGTGCCACCCCTCCCACTAGCCCAGGTTGCCCAAAGCCTCATCCAGCCTGGCCTTGAACCCCTCCAGGGATGGGGCATCCACAGCTGCTCTGGGCAACCTGGGCCAGGTTCTCATCTCCCTCACAGGATAAAATTCCTTTGAAACCCCTCCGGGATGCTGAGGGGCCCCAAGGATGGGCTCTGGGAAAGGAGCTGAGTGCAAGAGCCCAGCCAGCAGGGTATCTGCAAATGGCTCGGAAGTATTTACTTTGGTCTCAGAAGTATTTACGTAGGAGACATACGCTTTGAACCTCCTGCTTTGATTTGCCCAAACCTGTAAAATCCAGAGGTGGAAAAACCCACTGGGGTGTCCTGCTGCTAAACCTGCCATGAACATCCTTCCCTGAGCTTGACCTTTTTTTCCTTGCCTCTGCCCTAAGCTTGCACCTGGGGATACCTGGAACTGCACAAGGTGGTCTTACACCCTGCTGCACTGGGGAGGCATCCTTGTATTATTAACAATAGTTAATAATAATAGTAAATTAATCTCTGTTAGTTGCTGGAGGAAGCGCAGAGGGGAGAAGTGGACGGTACCCAGAGCTGCTGCATCCCTGGTGCTGAGTGATGCCCCCGGCTTTCTCCTGGGGAACATCTCAAATGAACAGAGGGAAATAAATAGGGAAAATAAATTATTTGAGACAGATCGCAGAGAGACAGTTGCCCCTGCACCCAAACTGTCGAGCAGGGCTGTAGAGCTGAGGGCATCACCTTCCTGCAGCCATCATCCCTCCCAGCTGGTCCCCACGGCCAGGGGAACACATTCATCAAACCAATTTTTATTTATTTATTTGTTATGTTACTTTTTGGCTTCAGCATGGGTCATAAATAACGATTAAGCAGAAACGAGTGTCGCCGAACTGTCGCTCCGGCTGGGCTCGTGCATTGCTCTTACTGCTGCTGGTGGTGCCCCGAAGGCTGGGCTCTGCATGGGGGGATTGGGAGAGCTTGGGGAGGAGGGGGATTTTTTTGTGTATTTTGGGGTTTTTGGGTTTGTTGCTGTCCCTATAGCAGCAAAAGAGAAACTGGAAGGAGTTGGGAAGGCAAAAATCACTAAAAATAGAGCGTGTGGGACTTTTAAGGCTCCCCAGGGATTTATTACTGAGCTGCCAGTGCCCGGAGCTGAGCTGCGATCCCAGTAATGCACGAGGTGAGCTGGTGGCCGAGAGCTGGCTGGAAAAGGGTGGTGGGGGAATGGGCAGATCCTGCCCCATGGAGGGTTTCCAGGGCGGCCGGGGCAGGAGTGGAAACCCAGACCTGGCTCCTGCTCTGCTCCAAGAAAAACACAGGCAGCTTCTTAGGAACTGGCTCAGCATCGCTCCTCTCCGATGGAAAAAAAGAGCAGGAGGAGGAGAACATGAAAAAGGCAGGGGAGAGCTGGAAGGATTTGGGGACAGCCAAGAGCAATGGGTGACCAGGGAGGGGGCTGAGCCCGGTGCCGGCGGGGCCATCGCTGGGATGGTACCGGCTGGAGGGTGTCCAGGCTGGGCACGTGGGTTGTACCAAAAATCGCTGCCTAATGCCATCCTTCCCCCTTGCAGATGTTCATCATGGAGAAGGTGGAGGGAGCCCAGTGCAGCCTGCACGAGTTCAGCATCACCGGCTCCACCTACGCGCCCGAGGGACAGATGTGAGTGAGGGTCCCCTCTGCTCGGCGGGTGACAGGGTGACACGGGTGGCCCTGGGGCCAGCAGAGCAGTCAGGGGGAGGTGAGAGGGTTTAGCTTGTGCCCACGGCTGGGGGACCCTGGGCTCACCCCAGCTGGGTTTTCCATGTCAGTTTGCAGCCATGCTAAACCCTGCCTATGGAGATACCCCCCAGGTGCTGATTTTCGACCACGTTGGGTTTGCAAGTGTGGCTGCACTTCACTTTTGGTGCAAATTGTTTCACTGACCCTTGTCGGCGGCTCCTGCCTGGGGGGCACGTGCCCCGGCTCTGCCTGTTGCACTTCCCCTGCCCAGCAAGGGGGCTCAGCTCCCCCTTCGTTAGCAATCCCAGTAAAATGAGCCTGCTTTTGAACTGGAGAGGATGGCAAGTGTGAGAATGCCCAGAGCAGCGGTGGATGCCCCATCCCTGGAGGGGTTCAAGGCCAGGCTGAATGAGGCTTTGGGCAACCTGGGCTAGTGGGAGGTGTCCCTGCCCATGGCAGGGGGTGGCACTGGGTGGGCTTTAAGGTCCCTTCCAACCCAAACCATTCCATGACTGAATAGTGACGAAGGAGGCTTTTCGCAGTCCGTGCTCATTCTCCAGATTTCTGAAGCCTGTGAATTTTCAGTATTGGCCAGTAACTGGTGCTCCTGCCCCAAGCAGAACCCGTGGGGAGCTGCACCGCTGGAGATGTGCAGAGGGACTTGCAAACGGCTGCAAACCCCAGTAGGAAAGTGTTCCCCCAACCCTGTGTCTTCAGCAGGGATGGCCGGGATGGCCGCTGTGCTCAGGGCATGATCTGAGTGATGTCAGGATGTGTTTTGGGGAAGACCATGGGTTTTGCTGAGCCTCAGCCAAGGGTGGGGAGCAGAAGCCAGGGGCTTCTCCCTGGTGCCTGATGATACACATGGGGTTTTCTGCTGGTGTGTTTGTTTATTCCCCCTCCTTTCAAAGGAGGTGATGCTCCCCAGTGTGGGGAAGGTCTGGGAAGGAGGAAGATGAGAAGCTCAGCTGGTGCTTGGAGCACTCTCTGCTCCCCTTCGCTTTGCTGCGCGATGCTGGGCACGTTCTTCACCGCGGTCCCTTCTGCTCATCTGTGGAGCAACTGTAATTCATCCCAGCCTCAGACTTAATTTCATGAATATTTATAGAGCCAATTTGATCCTCGGCTAGGAATCTCCATCGCAAAGCGAGCCAGGTCATAAGCTGGTATCAATCAGTGCGTTTCAATTAAAAGTGGAGGACTGAGGGGCTGAACTCGTGTCTGCCAACCTCCGAAGCTCCATGTCCCCTCTCCTCTGGGGACTGCCTGTGGGGAAGCTCCGTGTGGGTCTGCAAACATTCCTGTTGCTTTTGAATTTTGCTTCAGCCTTGTGCTTGTATTGCACATCGAGGGGGACGTGAGGGCATCACAGAGAGAAACCCCCCATTGTCCCAGGGCTGGAGGGACTGAAATGCTTGTTTTGCTTCAACCTGGCCTCAGCATGGGGGATACTACGTGCTTGACCTTGGCTTTGCTGGTGTCCCTGCACAGTACCCATCCAGCAGCACCTTTGCACCAGACCCTTTCCCAGCGTGTGGGTCTCGCCTGGCTCCATGCAGGGACAGCCGGCGATGGGGACGTACTCCCCGCATCCCTTCCCAGCTCTCTCAAGGGGGGTAACATGTTGCAAAAGCCATCCCCTGTATTTCCACCTTCCCAAACATCAAAACCTGGCCTGGAGTGTCTGCAGGCTCCCTCCTCCCCTGCCCGTGTGCCGGAGCCGGGCAGCATACCCTGGGCAGGAGGCAGCGGCTCCTCAGCAAACAGATTTTTCAGATTTTCTTGGCCGCTCCCTGTTTTCCGCTCCCGAACTGCAACAAGGGCTCCAAAATGTTCTTTCCGTTGGGAACCAGCAGTGGAATAAACTGATCCTAATAAATGCCTGACAAATTCTTTTTCCAGCAAGCAGATGACCGGCTGGGTTTATACAGCTCTAACCTGCAGTTACCTCTCCTGGAGTCGGGATAATTTTGTATTTCCCCTGAAAACCACCGCTGCTGTTTCTGCCACAGGGCAGCGGACAAGAAGCAGTGTCTGGCTTGACTGGTGTGTTCAGGGCTGCTCCTCCAGTGACATTTGTGCTCCTTTACCTAGCAAAGAGCTGCTAATTAGGAAGCAAAGGCCACAGTTCTCTGCTTGCTTGGAAACAGCCACAGCAATGCAGGTGTGAAATTTGTCTGCTGCTTTTAAATGCTCTCTTGGGTGCCCTCCCAAGCAGCATCACAGGGAGGAGAAGTGACTGGTCCTACAACTCCTCTGGATCCCCAGCAACTGGAAGCCCCTGGGGGGAGCAAACACTAACTTGAATCTCTTTGCCCTTTTTCTCATCCATCACCTTCATCATCAGCCTTTCGACAGCCCCTGCTTTCGGGTCCAATGCTCTTTGCAGCTCCTCTGCAGCCCCCTTTATTCTGGGGCACTTCTAGAGTTTATTTGCCTCCTGGTGATATTTTATTTGCAACCTGTCCTGCCCCATTTGGGAAAGCACAAAATGCAAACCCAGGTGTTTATTGCCAAGCCCAGGGCCTTTACTCTTTCTCCCCCTTTTCAGAACATTTTACAAGGGATATGTATCAGGAAGTGTAGCAAAAGGACAAGGGGTGGCAGTTTGAAGCTGAAAGAGGGCAGACTGAGATGAGATTTTGGGAAGAAATGTTTTCCTGTGCGGGGGGTGAGGCAGTGGCCCAGGTTGCCCAGAGAAGCTGTGGATGCCCCATCCCTGGAGGGGTTCAAGGCCAGGCTGGATGAGGCTTTGGGCAACCTGGGCTAGTGGGAGGTGTCCCTGCCCATGGCAGGGGGTGGCACTGGGTGGGCTTTAAGGTCCCTTCCAACACAAACCATTCTGTGAGTCTATGATGTAGGAGAAGCTAGGTATGATTTGAACACGAAAGCTGGTTTAAGGCTTTGGGGGGTTGTTTTCTCCCTGCAGCCTGAAGGACGAGCAGCCGGTGCAGTGTGGGCAGTTCGATGGGCTGGTGGAGCTGGCCACCATCTGCGCCCTCTGCAATGACTCCTCGCTGGACTACAACGAGGTGCGGGGGGCACTGGGGCTGGGGGGCACTGGCAATGCTCTTCCCTGTGCTTTGGGCCCCTTTGCAGCGGAGGGTTTCCCTTGGGATCTCCTGCCCTGGCTTCAACCCATCCCAAGGCGATGCTCTGGGAGCCCTGGGGCAGTGCCATAGGCGACAGCATCCTCAGTCGGAGCAGCAGGCAGAGGATGTGCTCTACAGCTTCTAAAGCTTAAGCTCCCTTTTTTCCTTTTTTTTTTTTTTTTTTTTTTTTTTTTCCCCCTGCCCTCTAGTCCAAAAAAGTCTACGAGAAGGTGGGGGAAGCCACTGAAACAGCCCTGACGTGCCTGGTGGAGAAGATGAACGTCTTCAACACCGACACCAGCAAACTCTCCAAGGTGGAGCGAGCCAACGCCTGCAATTCGGTGAGTGGGGGGAGGCCCCCGGGAGCTCCAGGGCTGGGGAACAGGAGAGGGCTTTCGGGCGACTGTTCTTTGAGCAATAACCACTTACACTTACAATGATCTAAGGACTGCTCTGCCACAAGGCTGCAATTTCCTGGCTTGCAGGGGGCTGAGCTGGTTTTGGAGCAGACAGTGCAATGACCCTGGGGGGGCTGATGCCAGGGCTGCGGGGACGAACTTGGGTCCACATGGAGCTTCAGAGCGGGTGATCCCATGGCTCGCACTCAGCCCAGTCCGTGCTCAGTCAGAAGAGACCCCCTTGGTGATGGCCAGACGCTCCAGCTGCAGATCAGGAGGTCTGTGGTTTTGTAGCTCCTCAGCAAATCTCTGGGTGCCTGGTTTGCACTCACCAGCTCCTCCATAGCATGGAGCAAACCCCTTTCCCCCATGCCTGCCTGAGGTCTTTGGAAACATCTTATTTCTGATGTGAAAATACCCCATGCTGGCTATTCCCCTGCTGCTCTGGCTCTCCAGTGTCTCCCTGTCCTCCTGGTGAAAATGCACTTCATTTCATGTCTGGACTTTGGTATCATGCTGTTAGATTATAGAATCACAGAATGGTTTGGGTGGGAAAGGACCTTAAAGCCCATCCAGTGCCACCCCCTGCCATGGGCAGGGACACCTCCCACTAGCCCAGGTTGCCCAAAGCCTCATCCAGCCTGGCCTTGAACCCCTCCAGGGATGGGGCATCCACAGCTTCTCTGGGCAACCTGGGCCACTGCCTCACCCCCCGCACAGGAAAACATTTCTTCCTCACATCTCATCTCCATCTCCCCTCTTTCAGCTTCAAACTGTTCCCCCTTTGTCCTGTCCCTGCACCCGCTTATAAAGAGTCCCTCCCCATCTTATAACGTCTTTGCTTGCTCGAAGGAAGAGCTCTCTGCTCTGGCATTTCTTCCCCAGGTCGGTCTGAGCAGGTCAGAATAAATCCCCTGACCTCTTTCTGATAAGGGAGATGGAATTTCCCAGCTGCACATCAGCCTGGGAGCTGCTTTGTTACGTGTGCCCGTCCCTGCCCTTCCCCTTGGCTGCCAGGCTGGGTTCGGCCACTGGTGCTTCTCTCCTTACTCCCGTGTTTGGGAAGGGACAAAAAGCCTTTCCTTGGAGTTTCCTGGCAGCATTTCTTTGATGCTTCTTGATTTTACTCCCAGTGGCTGTGTGCTTGGAAATCTCCGGAGGGATTTCAGGGTTTCCACAGCAGCTGGCTGCTCCCAGGTGTCCTTGCTGCTGTGCCGAGCGTGCGGTGCCCAGGGGACAGCACTGCTTTTGTGGGCACAGAGCTTCCCGCCCATGTGCACTCACTGCACTCGTACCCTGGGCTGGGTTTAGCCTTCAAGAGCTGCTTGGTGTTTGCCTGGTGTATCCGCAGCCAGCACCTGGGTTTTGCCAGGGTGAATCCCCTTTGCACATCTCTCCACCTCCCCATCCTTTTAACTTGGAACTTGCAAGGTTTTACCCCGAAAGGAGTTTTCTTTTTCCTTTGCCCTCCTTCACTGATTTATTTAGATTTCAGTTGCTGCACAAGCCCCGTGCAAAAAGCTGCTAGTGTCCCCATCACACGCAACACCCTCCTGGCAACAAAAAATAATAATTGTCTAAGCGGTTGAGCTGTGCAAAGCAAGGTTGGCATCGACATCCCCGCTTCCCTCTCCAGAAAATACTTTGGATGGGCCTGAGGTGTCCTTGCACTTTAAATGGATTTTTTGGGACAAACCATGTCCTCCCGGGAGCCAGGCTCAGCTGCTGCGATGGGGATGTGCGAGAAGGGGGTTGGTCTGGGGGGACTGGCTGGTATCTTGCTGGGCATTCGGTTCCGTAAGTAATTAACGAGTAGCAATAGTAGAGCCTGGTTTGTGGTGGGGTTTTGGGGGGTGTTGGGGTGCAGGAGCCTCTCTCGGGCACTGCCTGTGGGTTCGCGTGCTGGGGCAGCCCCTGCCCTGCCCTCACCCTGCAAACCTGCAGGTACCATTGATCGTTACTGGGTGATTAGCATGGCCTGAAATGAGCCTAATTAGAGTCTCAGCTGGGGAGATGCTTAATTTCCTGGGAACCACTCTGACCCAAGGAGCTGCTGGTGCTCCGGCTCCCCCTGAGCCCTGTGGGTGCAGGATGAGGGTAAACACAGTGAGGGCAGTCAGTGGGCTGCTGTTCCCCTTCCTGCAGCTCGGATGGAGCCCAACGGGGGGGCAAATGGGGCTTTATCTTAGGCTACAGCAGCTGTTTGGCATCCTGTATGGGGTCAATAAAATAAAAGCCTGGCACATGCTGGCATGTGCTGTGGGTTGGGCAGCAATGATGCAGTTGGGGGGTTAAAATTCTCCCCCAAAATTGCACAGGGAAAGCTCCTTCTGCTTTTTGCACAATCTCATCCCTCCTGGCTCCTGTGGTTTGCCTTTCTCCTCCCATCACCGGTGCTGTGCCAGCTCGGCAGGATTGTTAGCCAAGGTGGAAAGCTGCTGTGTCCCCATCATGTCCCATCTCAGCCCCACGGCTGTCCCCATCATGTGCTGACTCAGCCCCATAGCTGTCCCCATCATGTCCCATCTCAGCCCCATGGCTGTCCCCATCATGTGCTGACTCAGCCCCATAGCTGTCCCCATCATGTCCCAGCTCAGCCCCATGTCTGTCCCCATCATGTGCTGACTCAGCCCCATGGCTGTCCCCATCATGTCCCAGCTCAGCCCCATGGCTGTCCCCATCATGTGCTGACTCAGCCCCATAGCTGTCCCCATCATGTCCCAGCTCAGCGCTGCGCTGTCCCCACAGGTGATCAAGCAGCTGATGAGGAAGGAGTGCACCCTGGAGTTCTCCCGCGACCGCAAGTCCATGTCGGTGTACTGCACACCCACCAGCCCCGGCCACAACTCCACCAGCAGCAAGATGTTCGTCAAGGTAGGGGAGAAGGTCCGCAGCACCGTGTGGGATCCCCCTTCCCCATCCACAGCCCAGCAGGATCTGGCCCCTGCTGCAGTGGGCAGTGATGCTTGGCAGTTTGTCTCCTCCTTTAGCTGTGGGGGGGTCCAGGAGCCAGCAGGTGGGCTGGTGTGCTCAGGTTGGAGGTGAGTCTTTGCAGGATTGGTAGGAAAAAAAAGGAGGTAAAATGATTTAGAGGGAGGAAAAGCACCTGAGGGTGCTGGGGCCAGGGGAGAGTCGCCCCTGTGCAACACTTGGGCACTTGCCTTTGTTAAAGGCTTGGAGCCTCCAGACACAGTAATGCCCAGAGGGCGATGGCTGGCTTTCCACTGCAACCAGAAATAAAGCAGTGTTTTAAAGGGCATTTTCTTCCCAAGAGAAATTCCCCCGCTGACTCTGAGATTTGTATATTGTGGTTCCCACTGGGAGATCTTCTGGGTGAGTGAACTCCATCCTCCAGGCTGGGTCGGGACC